GAGTAGCTGGGGAGCCTCACACACCTTCAAGGTTTCATTTTATATACAGAATTTGAAAAATAGATTTAATTAAAACTGAATTAGCTTTTCAGTGAAGTAGTGATCTAACAGTGAAGTACGCAGACAGACTTGGCGTTAATTTTACATAAAACTGTTGATTAAGGACAAGTCTTCTTAGTTTCTGCATATAAAAAAACAACAGCAATTTTCTCCGTCTACTTACTATATGTCTAAATTATATTTGCCAGACACATTATATGTCCTGCTTGATTTGGTTTTCTTAAACATTTAAACGGCAGACATTTTTCGGGTTTCTTTAACACAACATAGTCTAAATTAGAGCGTGCTGTCCGAAAATTAACGTAGTGGTAGCTTGAAAATCACCATCCATCATGACCCTCATCTGAATAATCACAGTTTTTGCTTTTCACATGTCTGCTGCCAGCTGACATGGTTTATAATTTGCCTTTCTTGTAATTTCTTTTTGCTGAACCTGAAAACTGCTTTTCTTCAAGGCTCTGTGAAGAGAGTGGAGACACTGGCCTTGGTCTCATCTCTGCAGCAGATTGGTGTTGAAAAGCCATTTAAATGCTTAGAATCTTAATTGCCTCATCTTTAAAATGGGGATATTAATAATTTCGCTGCATATTGCAGTGTTTTTCTGAGGGCCAGTTGAGATAAGGGATATACTCACACATCGACAGTTGTCAAGGTCTAAAAATGTTAACTTGCTTTATTACGTCACATCTAGGGTGGGTTCTTAAAAGCGTGATTTAAGGGTTATTATTGTTTCATTTGTCCTGGTTGTTGCAAATAATTCATAGTATTTACTGGGAAGAGCACCTGGGTTTGCATTCTAGCTTCTGCTTATTAGTTATGAGGCTTTGGACGTGCTAACCAGCTTGGGTTTGCTTTTCTTGTCTATGAAATGGGCAATATGTTCCTGGCAGGAAGAGAATTGGGTTAGTAATGAAGGTAAAGTGCTGAATGAGATGTCTTCTGTTCTGCAAATTTAGATAAAATATGAGTTATAAAGGCAATGATTCAAATACATACACTTATGGGCTCTCCCTAATTTTCCTTTCAGTGCAACTAATGTTGGCGATTATTTATGCCAAAAAATGTTAGCTGTTTACATCTGGCCTACTGAATGATTTGGAGATGCGGGTTCATCGAGCCCTTACACACTTGTCTCTTTTAGCTTGTGTGGTTGTTTATGCATCTATAGAACATATCCATTGTTTGATATTTGCATCTATGAGCATCCTCCTGGTACAAAATCTGAAAGCTGGAGGACAGTTTTATACCTGAAAGTTGTATCTAATGTTTTCTTATGACTGTTTTCACACTTGGAAAACTTTTGTTTGAGTAACAGGTAATTCTAGGCATTAACGACCTTGGCTTTTATAGGTAAGCTTTCTAGAAGGAAAAGCAATCACAGACCATTCCTTCCATGAACAGAATGGCCACAGTTACTGTATATTTGCATGTATACATACAAATGATTTTTTTTTAGGATTTTACTATTTATTTGACAGAGATCACAAGTAAGCAGGGAGGCAGGCAGAGAGAGAGGGAGAAGCAGGCTCCCTGCTGAGCAGAGAACCTGATGATGTGATGATGCAGGGCTCAACCCAGGATCCTGAGATCATGACCTGAGCCGAAGGCAGAAGCTTAACCCACTGAGCCACCCAGGCGCCCCCATACAAATGATTCTTGCTTGTATTAAACTACGTATTAGTTACGCAATGAAACAATTACCTTTTAACTGTACTCTAATGTTAAGTGTAGAGAATAGGCTCTTCCTGAAAGTCAGACCCATTATATCCATAGGTAGAACCTGAGAGAAACCTGACCTTGATTTGGAAGCTTCAGGACTAATTATCTAATCTTTACCAGAAGATTGACGCCCACAAGGCCTGTTTTAGAGCTTGCTGTCTGCAGCTGGTCTCCCCCAGCCTGGGGCGGGTCAGGGCCACGGCTCCCACACAGCGGCATCACAGCTCCAGTGTCAGGATCAGGCATCAGTCTGCCAACTTACTCTTTGCTGATGTTGGCAAGGTCCTTCCTGAAAGAGCTGTGTTCTCCCATTCCCTGAAGAGCTCAGCCTGTCCATCCTTTCACATATGTTCAACTGACCGGCTTCCATGCTTGGTCTGTGAACTCCCAGTCCCGGTGAATTTTCCTACTAGAAACAAGATGTATAGGAAGAGCTCTCCATGAAGGAAGACAGACCAGAAACAAAAATTGCTGGAGCGCCAGGGTGGCTCAGTGGGTTAAGCCTCTGCCTTCAGCTCGGGCCATGATCTCATGGTCCTGGGATCGAGCCTCATATCAGGCTTTCTGCTCAGTCCCCCCTCTCTCTGCCTGCCTCTCTGCCTACTTGTAATCTCTCTCTCTGTCAAATAAATAAATAAAATCTTAAAAGAGAAACAAAACTTGCTTATCCTTTGCAACACTTTTCAATGTTAAGATTTTCCTTTTTCTTAAACACAGGAGAACATCTTATATTTTTAATGAGGTTGTGACCACTGCTATAGAAATTTTGTGAGAACACTCAGAAGTTGAGAAAACCACTCTATTAATTTTATCAATACCATTGGGACGTGGTCAAGCTTTTCTTCTTTAACATCATTCCTCTTGGCAGTCCGTTCAGACAGGCTCCGTTTGGAGTCACGGGCAGTTGAGTAGGCCATTTTCTTGGTTAGGGTAGTGTGGACAGATTGGGGAGAAGCTACAGGCTGGGGTTTGGGGGAATGAGATGCTCTATAGTGCTCTTTCCAGGAGACCCCTACATATGGCAGAGGTTAGCTAGGCAACTGTCTTTATCCAGTCTGTGCCAGTTTGTACTTTTCCATAAGGAGTCCCAATTTATTTGTCACACCTGAACTTTTCCAGGTTAAAATACTCTTCTGGAGAATCCCTTCTGGTCAATTTCTTATCTGCCTGAGGCTTTGATGTTAGGAAGCTCTTGTTCTTTATTACAAGCAAATCCCTGCTTTTAAGAACAAACACAGGATTAGTGAGAGTGAAGAGAATCAGGGACAAACTGAATAGCGGGACAAGGACTGACAATTTAGTGTATCCACATCGTGGAGAGTTTTTTCCTTCACCCTCAGTGTTAATTGAACAACACAAAGGCATGACTGAGCGTATCCTAGTCTGGAGACATTTAAGCCATCAATGATCAAACTAATCAAGAAAATTCCTAGAGGGTGCCTGGGTGGCTCAGTGGGTTAAGCCTCTGCCTTCGACTCAGGTCATGATCTCAGGGTCCTGGGATCGAACCCCGCATTGGGCTCTCTGCTCAGCGGGGAGCCTGCTTCCCCTTCTCTCTCTGCCTGCCTCTCTGCCTACGTGTGATCTCTCTCTCAAATAAATAACTAAAATCTTAAAAAAAAAATTCCTAGAATGCTTTTCTTAAGCTCCCGCCTTCCAAATTACTCCTCGTTAAAATCTTTTGTAAAACTTCAATAGATTTCTGTCTTGCATATTACAGCCATGTCTGTGGGTTTGGGAAGAATTTTTGGTAATTAGGTTACAAGACTGGAACAAAACAAAGGTGCATTTGTATCCGATTTTGGTTGTCTTTACAATTTGGCCTTTGTCGGGACTGACCAATGTTCGTGTGTGTGTTCCTCCCACAAATACTTATGGAGGGCCTACTCTGTGGCTCACACCCCTCTGGGCGCTGTGAATTCGGAGAAGCCCCTCAAAGGGTCTGCCCTCACAGAGCTTACATTTCAGTATGGGCAACAGACAGGAATAGGAAAAAGCACAAAGAACTAGTAGCCGATGATAAGAGGTGGGACGAAAACAGAGCAAGGCAAGAAGGGTTAGAAGCAGGGAGGGGTTGGGGGGATGGGTGGTCAAGGAAGGCGCTGTGTGTGTACCTTCCAGATGATGTAACAACGAGCTCTGTAAAAGTTGGGGAGGGACGTTTTAAGGAGAGGGGAGAACAGGTGGAAAGGCCTCCAGCAGTCCAGATGCTGTGAGACCCGCAGTGTGGCAGGGAAGAAGGGGGCAGCTCAGAGGCCCTGGGGAGGACCCTGAAGGATTTCCTCAGGGCAGTGGGAAGCCCCCTGGAAGGTCTGAGGGTCGTGGTCTGACTTCCACAGTGAAGGATAACTCTGGGTGGAGAATTGGTTAAAGGGGAAGCAGGGAGCCCCACTTGACTCACCTGTGTGTGCACCTGCTCCCTGGAGATGGACGGAGGCAGAGACTAGCTGAGGTGTGCAGCCACCGGGGAGAGAGTGCCCCACACGTATGTTCCTGTTGGGCTGACGGCACTGGTTTGGCTGTGGAATGGGAGGGCGGGGGGTGGGGAGCAGGGAAGAAGTGCTGGGTTTTCCTGTACCCACAATATCTTCATGCTGATGCCAGAGTAAAGTGGAGATGGGAAATGAAGGCCAAGTGAATGGAAAAAAACAAACCCAGTGTGGATTTGACAAAAGTTATATCTTTGGAATTGTGAGTCACATAGTGCTGAGACGTGTATGGTGGAACCACATTTTAGGGACATTTTTGCAGGTGTGTCGTAATTCCAGGGCAGTTGTTATGATCGCACTGTTTACATCCTTCAAAGACGGGGCTCTGTGCCCCTCCTCTTCGTCCCAAGATTGTGCCCTGGAGATAAGGTTTAGTTCAAGGTTTGGTTTGAATCTAAAGTTTCAGTTATCTGCAGAGTTGACTTCATCTGTGATTCTGATTATGTAAGAAATTGGGAGTGAAATCAATGTCGGGAGCCCACAGTGAATAATCCATCCTGGTTTTGAGTTTCTGGACCCATGAGATTTGAACGGACATGTGAAGATATTGTCTTGTGTGACTCTTCCCAGAGATCCCTGTGTCCCGTCACATAGGTGCGCCCGTCCCTCGCGGGGTAAGCGCATAGGTTGTGGACGTCCAGTATTGCCGGGTGGACGGGGGACCCCATCCTTGTCCGGGTGGACCTGGCTTATAACTCTGTGCCATCTGGCTTGTGTAGGACGAGCTGGATGAACTCCGCGCTGAGATGGAAGAGATGAGAGACAGTTACTTAGAGGAAGATGTTTACCAGCTGCAGGAGCTTCGGCGGGAGCTGGACCGCGCCCACAAAAACTGCCGAATCCTGCAGTACCGCCTCAGGAAAGCCGAGCAGAAGAGCCTGAAAGTGGCTGAGACTGGTCAGGTGGATGGCGAGCTCATCCGGAGTCTGGAGCAGGACTTGAAGGTGAGTGAGCGTCGCTGATAGGGGGCGCTCGTTCCCAGAAGGGGCTGCAGGAGCCAGGGATGAGGGCGGGTGGGGATCGCACATACACACCAGGTCCTGCCGTTCTGAGGGTAGTTCTCTCTCTCTCAGCAGATTTTAGCACACACGTTCTTCATTCGTCTGGTGGTGTAATAGGGTATGGGTAGTCATATGGCTTTGACATTCCAAGATCTTAAACCTGTCCCATGAACTGGAATCTTAAAACCTAAGGAAAAGAAAACAAATTGTAGTAAGGGATCTACAATTTAGAAGAAAAGAGAGAATTGGGGCACCTGGGTGGCTCAGTTAAGCGTCTGCCTTCAGCTCAGGTTATGATCTGGGGTTCTGGGATGGAGCCCCACCTTGGGCACCCTGCTCAGTGGGGAGTCTGCTCCTCCCTCTCCTTCTGTGCCTCCCCCTGCTTGTGCTCTTTCTCTCTGGCTCTCTATCTCAAATAAATAAATAAAATATTTTTAAAAAAATAAATGAATAATTAAAAATAAATTTAAAGAAGATATCTGCCACTTGGTCTGACAGTTGTGGAGAATTGTACAGAAATGCCTTCTAAAGATCTAGACTATTAAAAAAAAATCTATTGATGATCAGTTCAGTGATAGTCAAAGACCACTCACAGAGGTTGATTCTAATCATTTAATGTTTTTATCGTTACTTAAGGTTCTGGAATGCAGGAAACCTGAAATGACCATAACCCAAGGATGGTGTTTTGATTTAACTGAAAGAGAAATGGGACCGTAACTAATTGTCTAAAACTAATTGTCTAAGGTGTTTTTGAAAACCACTGGCAGAGGTGGGAATGAGGTGAAGAAATTCCAGACATTATACCATTTGCTATCTCCGTGGGTAGCATGGCTTCTCTTGTGCTCCGATTATCAAATCATTTATCAAGAGATGAATTATGCATAATGTCCTTCTTATTATGGGAGTACTTATGAAATCTCATTTCGCCTTTCATTATGATAACAGGAAAAGAATCTTTGTAATTCTGTCAAATCTATAAACCACTAACAAAACGTCATTCAGGGGGATATAAGGGTAATTTATATTTCTCTTGCAAAATCTCATTCCTTGTTTCCCTTTAGAAGGTAAAAACATTTAATTGCTTTTAACATTCAGATATTTTGTTATAGTAGACAAGTTAAAACTTGACTACATTATTTTACAGGATTATTTTGTTGTTTTTTGTTTTTTTAGCAAGTAGTTTTAGTATGCCTTAGGAACAGAAATGTTTATTGATCCATTTTTATTGTTATTGTTACTATTATTGCTAATTTATCATTAAAGCAGTGTGCGTAAGCAGAATTGGCATTCTTGATGATACTCTATAACGAGGTAGAGCTATCCACAGTAGCCTTTTAATCCAGATAAAGGTCATAGCTTTGCTTATAATGTAGATTTCATGTTTGAAACTAATACCCTCCTCCTTTAAAAATAGGCTTGTTAATATTGCCGGGGTCTTTGCCCTTTACGGCAATATCATATCACTTAATGATTCTGCCTCTGAAGTTGTTTGAATGTGCCCTTAGCACACAGCAAGCTTCATGTCCTGATGACTATCTCCATGGGTCAATACAGGTAGCCAAAGATGTATCTGTCCGATTGCACCATGAACTTGAAACCGTGGAGGAAAAGCGCGCTAAAGCTGAAGATGAAAATGAAAGTCTCCGACAGCAGATGATCGAAGTGGAGATATCCAAACAAGCCCTCCAGAATGAGCTGGAGAGACTGAAAGAGGTAATCCCAAGACACACGGGGATTTCTTTCTTGGGTTTAATTGTTAGGAGCTTGGGACTCCAAGGGCCCCATTTGCTGAACCGTGGTTTGTTTGTAGGGCCCAGAATCTAAGAACATTTTATCCATTTTTCGTAGCATTGTAAAACAACAACAATCACACAAAAATAAATCGAAAAAAGCAAAGAAGACTGTGACAAAGACTATATGTTGCTTACAAAACCTGAAATATTTGGTGTCTGACCCTCTACAGAAAGGGCTTGGTGAATGAACCATGGTCTAAAACTGCTTTTTATCATTTCCATTCAGATGAGCTGGCCATTAATTCCTTTTATGGGTCCAAATGGAGAATATTATTACCGGAATACAAAATTAAGCAGTAGCTTTTTCCTCGAGTCTCCTCTTCCAGTGAGCTGGAAAATGTGTTCTGGTTGTCTATTAAACTGTGTAAACAAATAATCTGTATATGCCACCTGTATCTATTATTTAGGCAACATGGTTTAAATACTTTTTATTTTAGGGAGTGAATGTATTCTAGCAAAGCGGTCAAGAAAATGAATACATACATATATATATATATTTTTCCCCCTTTGCATACAGTAATGCAAATGCTGTTTTGTTGTTACTTCCATTATAAGATTAAAGCTGTGTATTTTCTTAGAAAATAGCCTGCATGTTGTTGGAGTTAGAAACTGTTGACGAAGCCTTTACAGTGACGGCTGAAGCCAGCATTATTACCTGCGAACAGCCTCACTTAGTGCATGTTCCCTTTGGACAAGTTTCCCGAGTCACCCAGTTGTTCCCCATCCATCCAGCTGTCTACCTGCCCACACTTAATTCAGGTTCTGTACCATGCCCTGGGGAGGCAGGTGTGAGTATGGCAGCACAGGCTCTGCTCTCGAGATGTTTACAGCTCAATTTGACATGTGGCTAGCGAAACAAGTAAATCACAGCAAAGGAGCCAGTGTTGCTGCCTCTCTTCTTCCACCCCATCCCTCCAACAGCCACTCAGGTGCCCTGCTGTTCCTCAAGGTTGGCGGGGGTGGGGTGGGGGCAACATTCTTTGTCAAGAGATCCATAACCTTGGGGCGGCTCAGTCCCTTGCCTTTGGGTCTCTCCTGACATCCCACTTCAGCCACCTGGCCCCGCACACGTACACATTCCCAGTTGTCCCTGCTTCCCCCCTCCTGGCCATCCCTATCTGCCTTCCCATCTGACATGCTGTCAATTTTGGTGACTCACTTGTATATTGCCAGCACTTGTCTGACAATGCCATGGGTTTTATTTCTTTGTTGTCTTCACTAATGTGCCTCCAGGACTTGAGCTCTGTGGGAAGAGGGTGTGTCTGTGTAGTTCATGGTGGGGTCTCCGTGCCTAGAATAGTGCCTGGCACTTAGGTGTTGTTGGAGACATGCATGGTGAGGGAGTGAATGGAGGGTGAGAAGGTGGAGCTGTGGTGAGCACAGCTCGCCTGGGGACTCGGTGCGCTTCACAGAGGAGGAGGTAGAGTCTGAGAACGTTCTTTCATCATGGGTATCCCTTGCTCCTTACCTTAGGTGTGCACTTACCCCAAGGGATTGGGGGGATTTCTCCTCTCCTTGTGGGTCTCTTACCTCCGCACTGAGTTCCCTGTCCTTTACTTCCTTCTTTCCCTTTCGCTCTAAGTCTGCTAGAAGGTTTGCCATAATGGTTTCTTTCCTCAGGATTTCCAGTTTGAGCCTGACCTTGAGGGTGCAGAAAACATCTTAGGAGTCCATTTTACAAATGTTGTATATGTGAATGCCTGCATATAAATATTTAAATTATATGTACATATAAGTGAGTAAATAAATATATTTGAAGCAAGCAGTTTCTCTTGCCCCCACGGAGTTGGATTTGTGTGGGACTTGGCGTCAAGCCACAAATAGCTCCTCAGGGAGAGAAATGATGACTGACGTTCAACGCCGGGCAGGGGTGAGGCAGGGGTCTTTAGAGAACGGTGATGTTGGCTGAGGCTGGATGTACACAGAGGAGGTGGCAGGCCGGCCCCTCCCTGTCTTTATGGGTTAGAGTCCCCCGCAGGCATGGCCCAGCTGGGCTGCAGTCCCTATTTTACCTGGAGAGCTGCCGTCCAGCCGGGGGATGGCGTCTTGGCACCAAATCTCACGATTCTAAACAAACCCTAAAACTGACCAGAGTCTACAGAAGGTAGACGCTCTAGACAGTGCGGGAAGGAGAGAATGATGGAACCAGGCGCCCCGAGGTTCAAAGGTGGTAGAGGAGATACTTACTGGAAAGTGCTAGCTGTGGGCTTCGTGAGTGGATTCTCTTTACTAAAGCCAGAAGGAAAGGCGCTGGGAGCTTTGCTCCGGGGGGACTGTACTGTTCTCTCTATCTTGAGTCCCGCTCCTTATCGTTTCACCTCTGAAGTTTCGTAAGCGGATGAGTCACATTCCGGAAAAGGCAAGGGGAGTTCGTGCGTCGCCTGTGTCTCTGAATGACGGAAGTAGCTGCAGACAACCGTGTCCCTCTCAGCCTGGGAGGACAGTTAGACAGGGCGTCTCCGTGCCTCTTGGGCTCCATAGCTGCTGCCACGGGGGGCTCGTCTCCCAGGACTGCACACTGTCCGTGCAGCGGCCCGGTGGGCTTCTGCCAGACGGATTTGCCCGAGCACTTCACACTCAGAGTCCAGAATCAGACTTGCCACCCTCAGCCCCACCTGACTCTTCCCTGTCTTTCCCATTTGTGTCCACAGTGCTGCAGTCCTGCTGGTCCCTCTGGCGGGAGCACTGGCGGGTACCCTGACCTCCCTTCCTGCTGGCACTGAGAATGCCTTCACATTCTGCCCTTCTGCTTTTGCAGTCTTAGGAATTTTCTTCTTTTCTTTTCTTTGCTTTGCTTTCTTTCTAAGATTATTTATTTATTTATTTATTTGAAAGCGAGAGAGAGAGAGAGAGAGAGAGAGAGCGCGCACACGAGTGGGGAGAGGGGCTCAGGGAGAAACAGGCTCCCCACCGAGTCTGGAGCCCCATGTGGGGCTGGATCCCAGAACCTTGGAATCATGACCTGAACCAAAGGCAGACGCTTAACCAACTGAGCCATTCCAGGAGCCCCTGAAAACATGATTTTTTCAAAACATTTTTTTTTTTTAAAGATTTTATTTACTTATTTGACAGAGAGAGAGAAAGAGAGGGAGGAGGAAGCAGGCTCCCTGCTGAGCAGAGAGTCCAATGTGGGGCTCGATCCCAGGACCCTGGGATCATGACCTGAGCCGAAGGCAGAGGCTTTAACCTACTGAGCCACCCAGGTGCCCCTCAAAACATTTTTTAATTTAAGTTCAATTAATTAACATATAATGTATTATTGGTTTCAGAGGTATAGGCCTGTGATTCATCAGTCTCATTATATCACATGCCCTCCTTAGTGTCCATCATCCAGTTACCCTACCCCCTCCCCCAGCAACCTTCAGTTTGTTTCCTATGATTAAGAGCCTCTTACGGTTTGTCCCCCTCTCTGATTTCATCTTGTTTTGTTTTTTCCTCTCTTCCCCTGTGATCCTCTGCTTTGTTCCTTAAATTCCACGCATGTTAGTGAGATCAGATGATGACTGTCTTTGACTGACTTAGTACAGTTAGCATCCTACCCTCTGGTTCCATCCATGTTGAGGCAAATAGCAAGATTTCATTTTTCTCTCTCACTTACACATGCTGTACCGTGGATGGACCACGAAAATAGACCAAGGAAAAGAAACTGGACATATTGCATGATTCCATTTATTCGGAATAGGTAAATCCATAGAGAGAAAACAGATCAGTGGTTTCCAGGGGCTGTGGAGAAGGGAGAGGACTGCTTAATGGGTCTGGGGTCTGCTTCTGGGGTGACAAAAAGGTTTTAAAGTAGATAAAGGTGATGGCTGCACAACCCTGTGAATGCCTCTGAGTTGTGTACTTTAAGGTGGTCGGGTTTAACCTCAAATAAGAATTTTTAGATTCTCTATTCTACCCATACTTTGACCAGTCTTCTCTCAAGTGAATATTTGAGAGCGACTCTATGCCATTGACACTTTAAAGGCAGATACTACTTCCGGTCTCTCCCTTCTCTGTTTTACCTTCAACGCTCCCCCAACGCCTACTATGAGACTCTCCACTTAAACACATGGATTTACCCTGGCTCCTGATTGGCTGACTCTCTAGACATAGAGACACGCTTCCTGCCGGGGATCATCCCTGTCTCCCAGCTGGGTTTCCCACCCCCTGTCAAATCCTGGAGTGAAAGAAAGGCAGCAGAGCGAGATGAGAATAATCTGTGCCCTCTGGTCCCCTTTGAACAGAGTGGGTCTTAGAAAAGTCACTGTCTCCATTGGTAGATAAGATGGTTAAAGAGGGTTGGCAATATGAAACTATCTGGAATTGTCCCTTCTGTCTAGCCAGCTTCCTTGTGCCTCTTTGCATCGTGGTCCATGCACCCAATTCTGGTACACCCCTCCACTTGTGCAAGCTCAAAACATTTTTGCCTTTTTAGGAGTATATTTCTTCTAGTACTCAACTCTATGATGAATTATCTGGACAGGTTGAAAATGGTTAATCTTAGCTTAGTTTCAACGTCTTAAAGATTGTTTTCACTGAGCAGTATTTCATTCTACCAAAGTTTTCGAGTACTTCTATATCTTAGACACAATAATAACTGGCCAATTTAGTTGGCACTTGCAAGGGACAGAGACATATTCTAGATCATTCCAGGGAACGGGGCTTTTCTTTTCTTTCTTTTTTTTTTTTCTTATTGAGGTATAATTGACATATAACATATTAGTTTCAGGTGTCATGGTTCAATATTTGTATATATTGCAAAATGATCACCCCAATAACAGGTTAACATTCCTTGTTGAATACATGGGTCCAAACATATTTTTTCTGGTAATGAGAACTTCTAAGATCTGCTCTCTTAGCAACGTTCAAATCTGCAGTACAGTATTAACTATGGTCATTATGCTGTACATTATATCCCATGACTTATTTATTATAACT